TAGAATGATTGAAACAAGCAATTATAAACCAAAACTTTACTAATTCAAATACTTGTCTTATATGACATGACCAATTATGTTATCTTGTATTTTTCATGACGTGAAAAATTATTAAAAATTCATATGGACATTGATTGAAGAGCTAGAAGATTCTTCAATTTAATAAATTTTCATTTTCTGAATATTCTTAAGCTAAATTGATTATTAAGCTATCAACAAGTAAAATTGAGGTTTAATCTTCAATATTTTTAGAATATATTCAAGGTGATATATGTAAATCAATTCATCCATCATGTGGACCATTTAGATATTTTATGGTTTTAATAGATGCATTTATAAAATTATCACATGTATGTTTATTATCTATTCGAGACTTAATGTTTTTGAGATTGTTAGCTCAAACAATTCAATTACAAGCATAATTTTTAAATTTTGCCATTAAAATAAAATTTTCTTGATAATATTGGTGAATTTATCTCTCAAGTATTAAATGATTATTTATTGGCTATTAGAATAAAGGTTGAATAGCTTGTTGCTCATGTTCATGCTCGAAAGGTTTAGCACAATCATTTATCAAAAGACTTTAATTGATAGCTAAACCATTTATAAAATCAAAACTCCTTATTTATGTTTAGGGACATGCAATCTTATTTGCAGCAACACTCATTCGTATTAAACCCTTAAGTTATCAAAAATTCTCCCCCTTCAATTGGTTTATGATTATGAGCCAAATATTTCTCATTTAAGAATTTTTTTACTTTACGAGTATATATCCATAGTGCTCCTCCACGATGAACTAAAATGGACATTTAAAGGAGATTAAGAATATATGTTGGATTTGAATTCTCTTCGGTAATTAAATATCTTGAACCATGAATAAGAGATATTTTTATAACTCGATTTATCGATCGTCATTTTGATGAAATAGTTTTTCTAATATTAAAGGGAGAGAATAAGCAAAATAAGCATTTGGAAATATTAAAAAAAAAAGATTACATGGAGTACTCTATCTTTATATTATCTTAATCCTCGTATAAAATAATGTGAACTAGAAGTTTAAAAGATAATTCATTTACATGGTATTGTAAATCAACTACCGGATGCATTCTTATATCCTATATGAGTAACTAAAATGCATGTCCCCATTGATAATGCTCCTATTAAAATTGATATCCTAGAAGGAAAATCTATTAATATTATAGAAAATGAATCTAAAGAATGCCTACGACGTGAAAAACCAATCGGTTCCAAAGAAAAAAAATCACCAAAAAAAGGATAAATAATCAAGATGAAAATATAAAGGATGCAATTTTCATAAAACATGCCCAAGATATTTCTAATAATAGACTTATAGAAGAAGTCTAAATGCCTAATACAAATCAAGAGATTTTGATAAATCATGTTAATATAGGAAGAAAATAGGACTCGAAAAGAAACATTTATTGATAAGATTTTTACATGTAATATTGCAATTGATATTTTAAATGAAAATAAGGATCCCGGGCTTAAATTTCTTTAAAAAAATATCGACATAGAGATAATTAGCCTAAATGAAAGAAAAAACAATCCAAGCAGAATTATATTCTCTACAAATGAGTAGTTTTGAAACTTATGGTCAAAACACCTAAAGATGTTAAGCTAATGGGATACAAATGAGTATTTTTACAAATAAAATAAAATAAAATAAAAAAGATGAGATTATGAGATATAAAGTAAGAATTCTAATACAATAGTCTTTTTGAAGACTTGAGATTGACTATGAGGAGATATATTCTCCAATAATGGACGTAATTACATTTCGTTATCTCGTTAGTCCGACAAAATATATGAAAAACTTTTTATATATACATTTAATGGATATGATCACAGACTTATTTGTTTAGTTGAAAATGATATCTCTATGAAAGTCTTAGAAGGACTTAAGATAACTAAGCATGTAATACATATTCTCAAGAAGTGAATTCAATTAAGTTATAGAGATCTCTATCGAAATTATTTTAGTATTTTTTTATTATTTTAGTTTTTAGAAATTCAATTTATGCTAAACTTTTTATATTTATTTTTTTATTTTTCAATATATACTTTTTATTACTAACCTATGTGCATGTGGTATAATTGCTTCAATACATATTTATTGAAAGAAGGTTGTAAAAATAACCATAATTATTCATGTATTTTTATAAAGAGATTCGAAAAAAGGTTTGTGATAATTGTTGTATATGTTGATAATTTAAATATTATTGAAACTCCTAAAGAGATTCAAAATGTCATAAGTTATCTAGAAAGAGAATTTGATATGAATACTTTGGGAAACAAAATTTTTATCTCGACTTGTAGTTCAAGCACTTAGAGAATGATATTTTTAGTCATTAGTCAATTTATATAGAAAAATTCTACAATTATTCTGTATAAATATCATCCATTGACTAACCCAATGATAGTTTATTCACTTGGTATATAAAAAAATTATTTTTGACCTTGAGAAGATAATGAAGAACTACTTGGACTTGAAGTACCATATCTTAGTACCGTTGGTGTATTGATATATCGTATTAATAATACTCGACCCGATATAGTCTTTTCTATAAATTTATTGGCAAGTCATAGTTCTACTCTAATACGAAGACATTGGAATGAAATTAAACATTTCGACGTTATATTTGAGAAAAATTGATATGGTATTTACTATACTCAAATAAATCAAAATCAAATTTAATGGTTATGCGGATGCAAGTTATTTATCTTATCTATATAAAACTTGATCACAAACAGGTTATGTATTTATACTTGGTGATACAACTATATCATGATATTCTATGAAACAAACTATAGTTGCTAGATATTCAAACCATGTAGAAATACCAAATCACGAGGCAAGTTGAGAATGTTTTTAGCTAAGATCAATGATCCATCATATCCGAGAGACATGTAGTTTATCTACTCGGTAAGAAAGTTCCAACAATATTATATGAAGATAATGTTGTTTGCATAATTCAACTAAAGGAAGATATATCAAAACGAAAATTGGACGAGACTTATTTGCTAAGGCATTATTTACCACAATTTTTGATAAAATAGTTTTAACGAGACATGTTCCTTGTAAGATAGACATTCAAAGGGAGTGTTATGAAATAATGAATATCCATTTCATATTCCCACCAGTCATTATTCTTAATGTGATTCAATTCATTATTCAATATAGAAAATTAAAAAGGTGATGCAATTGATTAAATTATTTATGCACCTTTAATGGTTCATACTCTTTTTCAATTCTCTTCCTAATTTTAAAGCCTATAAATAGGCTTAATCATTCATTATTTTGTGTACAAGTATTTTGTAGAGATTGAGAGAATTATTTGAAGTTATTATCTCTTGTATTTATTTTATTTTATAGTGAATTTATTTTATAAATAAAGGAGATTTTAGAAGAAAAAAAATCTAATTGTGAAAAAAAACCAACAAAAGGACCAAGTTACATTTGCAAAACGATTATTGGTGTAATAATTGTAAAGCTTTATTACAAACATAAAAGGTTTTAAGACAAGGAAGTGGTGCAAGAAAACTTGTAATTCATTTAAATTTTACAATTGGAAATCAAGAATTCATTTACATGATATACACTACACCAAAAATAGGTATTCCCGCCGGTTTTTTCACACTTGTAGAGGCGGTTATAACCGCCTCACGATTCTTAGAGGCGGTTAGGACAACCGCCCCAAGACCGCCTACAATGCCGCCGTCTCTACCGAGTAGCGGCGGTTTTTCCAACCGCCGGGAAGTCCGAGGCGGTTTTGTCGAGCGGTTGGAACCGCCTCTAGTAATTGGTTTTGAGGCGGTTCAAACCGCCTCTAGTAGGAAAAGCTCATCCTTAGGAATTTTTGGGGCGTAATTGTAGAGGCGGTTTTGAACCGCCTCTACGTTCTCGATTTTTTTTTAAAATTTGGTGCGAGATTTATTAGGGGCGGTTGCAACCGCCCCAAGTTGTAAAATATACGTTTTTTCTATAATATTTATAGAGGCGGTTGTAATCGCCTCAAAATTCAGAATTCATAAAAAATAATTTTGTAATTCATATTCAAATTTAAATTTTTTTTATTGGTCCAAAAAACAAATAAATTACGAAAATATTAATCTTGTTGAATGCAAATTAAAGAAAAATTATCAAATTCCAAATACATAAAAGGTTGTCAAACATTTACAAATAAAAATAAAAACTAAAGTATTAAACATTTGTTTGAAATACATAAACAAAATTCCAAATATATTTTAAATTTAGTAGCTAATGTTTTTATAGAAATGTCTAGACCCTAGCTACATTGATAATCACTATGCTTTCTTTCCCCGTCATCTGCAGTTCAAGCACATTCTCCTCAAACTAATGACTCGGTGGGCTGTGAACATCACAAGACCTCAACTTCCTCTACTCGTTAAACTCTCAACGCCAAATAGGCATCCTCTCGTCCGCATGATGGCATTGTTTTAGACCTAATCACGGAACACAAAACACAATTGTCATGAGATTATAAATCCATGTATGTGTGCATCGAGTGTCTAGAAATTGTGCAGAGACAGTTTTAACATATATCAATACGTAATCAAACTTGGAAAAATTTCGTACTCCGGGAGTCAAATTTATGAACGATAAATCACCACGAGTTTCGGATGTGCTAGACTAAAAAGTGAGAGGCAAAGTAGATGTTTCATACCTTGAATCCCTTCGATCACATGTCGAGTCTACGGACCGTGATGTAGCAATCCGAAATTACCGTCACCGACCATATTTTAGATATTTGTTAACAATTGATGGAAGAAGGGTTATGATCTCATAACAAGGTTAATTGAATCGATCATTACGGATACTTTTTCATAAACTTGTTTTAATTTTGTAATAGAAAAAAAGTATAAAAACTAGGCTCAAATTTTCCAACTTCCATTTAAAAAAGAAAACTATAAGCAAATAAATGATAAATGGTAAAAAAATTTGACCTTATGTATGGGCTTTAGAATTGAGGCCTTCGGATACTAGTCCCCTTATATGAGTCGGGTTTTGGTCCAAGTCCAACATCGATTTCATCTACTCCCTGCAGAAATTGGCAAATGCATGCATTAATAGGAAGTAAGATTTTTATTAGCGAAGGAAACTAAATGATGTTTATCGATACGGACAAAAAGTATCGGACACCGGACAACATTTGAAAACCGGATATATGATAATCCAAAAGTGTAAAAAGAAATTATCATGCAAACATTGGTCATAGAGGTTCAACAAGAAAATAACAATTAAAATCGAAGAAAATAGATCAACAATAAAATGATGCTAACTGGTAGAGTATTGGATGAGCTCTGTCTAGCAATAAGTAGGTACCATAATCCTAGTTTGTCGACAAATCAATGTAGAATTATAAAAACTAAACCATGAGTTATTACTGCGATAACTTCATTTCATTTAGTGGGAATTATAAAGTTACGGAGAGAGTCAATGGCATAAGAGGCGAGCATGGTGGTGTAAAGAATTGATTTAGATAGGAGTAGAGCTTTTCAATTACGGGTTCACCTTTAGAGCTTGTAACCAACGGTGAACAATAAAGGTAGATTATAGCAACAAAAAATGGTTCGGTATTCCTATTGTAGATACACCTTCCGTCAAATGTCGGTATCCGTAGGTCACATCATGTGGCACCCATATGGAATCCACAAAACCGAAATCTTAATGGAATGCCGGACAATGGTAGTTGCCGAAATTTTTCTACATGGGAATTCAATTGCTTGCTGTAATTTTGGATGATGAGAACTGTTCCAAATCATAAAAACAGCCAAACAGCCTCTATATATAAGCTTTCTTGTAATTTATAACACTCCTAAGTTCATCCTTGAAAGAGGATTCTACATAATAAAAATGCAGGAACCCGAATAAACCACTAGATTGATGCCATAGCATGACCTTCAAGCATCATGTTCGATACAATTATCTATAGTTGATAAGTTGACTAGTGTTTCTTCGTATGTATTGGTCGGTGTATTTTCTTTAGTATCACAAGGAAGAATAAAGAATCGAAATTTATAAGAAAAATATATGTTAAAAACTACATATACAAACACACAAAGGAAACACATTTGATAAGAGTGAATCATGGTGTTATATAAGACAACATGTGCAACCTTCGACTCGTTTGCATCATTTTCGGTATCTTCCATAGAAAATCACATCATCTATATCATCTTGAAAACTAATTTTTATTTCTAGTTCTACGGGTTTATGCTAAAAAAAGGGGGAAACTTAAATATTTCCATGTGAATAACATTTGCTTTATTGATTTTTTCTTATCAAAACTTATAAAGAGCATAAACTCTTAACTTTTTTTGCAAATTTTATTTCAATATTCTAGTATTTATATGCGCACGATCGGTACAATAATAAAAACATCGCACACACATGTATTTGATCCATTCATGGCCATTCTTATTCACTTACAAGACTATTTTGCAAGCGGGACCCTAGCAAGGGTTTAGAATCATAATGACTAGCCTAGAAGCCATGCATGCTTAACTTGACTATAGAAGATACATAATTAGGTTTACCTTTTTCTCGCCTCCATCCTTTGACGAACCGATGGGTCCACACTCAAGTCCATTGTTCTTATTTGATTTATTCTCGTCGGGAAGATTTTTAAACACGATATTTGTTGAAGAAATCGAAGTCAATTTCTAAAACATTAAATCATCATTAAAATGCAAAACGCATTAGCGAAGCAATCGGCAATAGTCCACTCAAAATAGAAAAGTATTAAATGCTATAAACTTCTACGAAGAGAGGTCTAATTATGAAGCATTACATGACTTTTGGTCTCCGGTTCTCGGATTCTCTATTCGTTGGAAGACTATGGTGGCCACTCAACCCCAAAGACCTCCGATCGAATCCATCACGGCTCCTAAAAAATTATCCAAGTTAAAAACCTAATGTGGGGGGTTGGTTAGACAAACAGAGAGAGATCTTATGTAATGTCAAACCCGTTATCTACACCGATTGGCCATAAAATTAATTAACCATACTTACCTTTACGGAGATCAATGAGAAATTCCACAATGAGTGCCCATTTGATTTGGAGAGCAGAACGAAGCGAGTAGATGAACGAACCCGGAGGAGACGAACGAAGCAAAGGGGAAGAAAAACCCGGAGGAGACGAACAAACCCGGAGGGGAAGAAAAACCCAAAGGAGACGAATGAACCCGAGAGGAGACGAACGAAGCGAGAGGGAAGAAAAACCCTAAGAGGAGCGAGGATAATGCAGCGTTTGTATCCCTTTCACAACAAATAAAAAATTGAAATAAGAAAGAACAAAAAGAGCGAGAACACGCAAGAGGCGAGAGGAGAAGAAGATCGCGGTGAAGAGGGAAAATTTATGAGTAGCAGAGCGAGAAGACACAAGAAGTAGAGGAGAAGAAGATTTAGTGAAGAAGGAAAACTTATGTCCGATCTTATCACTTTCAAAACCAAAAGCCAATGAAGAATCGAAGGAGAAGGAAGAAACAAATTGAGAGTGGAAGAGAAGCTGGGAAACCCTAAGGAGAGGGAAAATGAAATGCCCTTCCCCCTTTCGAAACAAATTAAAAAAAAATAATGAAATAAAATTCGCGCCTCTTACATCTAAAACCGCCCCAAATGTTTCCTATAAAAGTCCACTCTCGGTACAAATGCTAAAAGGTTTTGGGGCGGTTTTGTAAACCGCCTCAAGAATTCTGCCCCTATATCAATTTTTTCTTGTAGTGATAAGATGTGGGTCCTCTCCATCCTGAATCATTTATCAAGTACAAAAACAGCACAGAATCATTTACTACTGATTTCCTAGCTAATATGGAAACAAAGATGTTTCCGTATTGCTAGGTTTGCTACTTAATTTCTAGATCGGGGGAAAAAAAAAAACGCTGACTGAGAGGCACATGCATGCAAGACAAAGTAAAGAAATAATAAATAAATAAAAGAAAGTTATTAGATAAGAAAAAGGTAAATTGGGATTTTTGTGATCCACAATGATGTCAAAATGAATTTCCTGCTTTTTTCTCCTCATTATCAGTCAAGACTCTCTACCTATGGGGGAGTGAACTTCTTCTTCTTCTTCTTCTTTTTTTTTTTTCCTCGTGTGTATATATATATATATATCTTTTTCCTGATAAGAGAAGGTAAATTGGTTTTCGACTTTTCGTCTTGTGACTTGTAATTCTTCACTTCTCATCTTTTTATGCCTGTTCTTCTCTGTAATGGACTTTATAGACAATGCCTACCATAATGGACTGATAGGTAGAAGAAAAAACATTACAGCATGTACTTCTAGTTGTTTACATATCCTGCCTTCTGAAATTGGAACCTTGCAGGTTTGGCAATATGCCTAAAAAACCATGCAGTTTTTCATTTTCATTTCCCATTTATTCATGAGGTCATTTCTATGATCTAGCCATTGGGAAGATCTTCTGAAGATCTTCTCAGTCGCAATCATAAATCTATAGAAGACAGTTTAAAGATGGCTACCTAAGCTTTTTCTCTATAGCTTGCAGTCCAGCCAAAACCCCAGGTGTAGGTTGAATCGCAGCCAACAAATCCATATCTTTATATAGCCATAGCCAAATTCCAAGACCTAGCCCAAGGTCAAGCAGTTGTCATGGTTTTCAGTGACCACACCCAGATTTAAGCCCATCTATACATTGTATCTAACTATGTCAAAAGGGATCTTCCAACTAACTAACCAAACCGCCACTTTTTCCCCTCCCTCTCTTTCTCTATAAAATCAAAAGTCTAGCTTCACGCCCATAAATTTAGCAGCAAACCATTTTCGCTCTCTTCCTTTCTCTCTTCAATTTTCCTGAGAAAAAAAACAAAATACCAGAAAAAAAGAAAAAGAAAACGACAATGAAGAGTCCAAATCAATTTTGGACTCTGAGACGAGTACTTGCCTGCTTTTTTGTTATAATTCTTTCAATCTGCCTCTCAATTTATCACCCTTTATTCCCACTTTCTTTTCAGGTACTCCCTTTCCTCCCTTTCTACAGTACTTTTCATTTCGTTTGCAGTTTCCTTTCTTTCACTTTCCCTCACTTTCTTGCGTTTACCCTCCCTGTTCATTTTCGAGCAATTTTCTTTTCTCACGCTCCGCTTCAGTTCTTTAAGGATTACTATTGGAGTCATTCACTTTCTTGCTTTCCCTTCACTGTTCATTTTCATGCAATTGTTGGTCAACTTCATTTCTGTTAAAGATTATCAGACACATTCAACTTTCTTTCATTTCATCTCACTTTCTTCCTTTTTTATGCCCTTTATGGGTTTTGGAGATCAATTTCAGTTCCTTAAAGATTACGGTTATGGGATTTACGCCTCTTTTCTTGCACTTGTTTTTTATTTAGGTGCCACTTCAAGCTTATGCACAAGATTCTGATATTATTACTGAACTCTTTCACTTTCCCGAGGCTTTCAGTGTGGAATATATGGAAATGGAAAAGAGCTTCAAGATCTTTGTGTACCCACATAATACTACTATCTGTGATAAGCCAAAGAATCTTCAGGGCGAGTATGCGAGTGAAGGACTGTTCTTTGAGAATCTTTATCAGAGTCGGTTCTTGACCAATGAGCCCGAGAAGGCTCACCTTTTCCTCATTCCCATTTCTTGCCATTCATTGCCTGCTGAGGTATAAGTTCCATGTGGTTTCATTCGTACTGTAGTACTTGTCATTTTGGATGGTTTTGTGAATAGTTTTGTCTTGATCTTTTCTTTACTGACATGAAATTACAATTCAAATACAATAAATTGAACTCTATTCAAATGCTGTTGATGTTTTCTGTCACAAATTGCATGCCTAGGCATCACTTTGATGTGGTTTTACTAAAGACTTGAAGTGCAAGTTATTTTGATTGCAACTGATATAAGGGATTTTGAGTATCTTACAGAAATCTGTAAGGGGTTTTACTGTCTTGTGGATAGATTGCAATTTCTTTTGTATCAGCAGCTGGCTTTCTTATTTCATTTTTTTTGATAATTAATCTGTAATACTGCATTGATACTATGATGAAGATTGTATGTTGATGTTGATATGTGCAGGGAAGATCCCCCAATGAAAGGTCAATAGTTGTCCTGGATTTCATCAAGAGCCTAATTTCCGAGTACCCTTATTGGAACAGAACTTTAGGTGCCGATCACTTCTTCTTAACCTGTGAAGACATTAATGTAACAGATACTGCACGACTTGCTAATCTTCTGAAGAATTCAATCAGAGTCTTGTGTTCTCCAAGTTATAATGATGAATTTGTTCTTCGTAAGGATCTTTCCCTCCCGCAAATTGTGCAGCCATTTAATTATTCTGCTGCTGGATTTGACCCATTTTTGGAAAGGTAACTTGAAACACACTGCTGAATATTTTTTATTTCTAACCTAATGAATCGGTCAAACTAGGAAGATAACTTGAAATACTCAATTTACTGTAAATGGTATCTATATCTTGCAGAGGTATACTATCTTACTATAGCGGTCTTGATGGTTCTTATATAAGAAAGAAGCTGGTTCGACCTTTTTTGGGATTTGAATCAGAACTTGATCTCACCAACATAGGACTACCAACTAATACTGAACGAGGACTTGCTGTAGGTGGGGTCAATTCATCCTATTCCAAGTATTGCATTTGTCTCGGAGGCCCTCAGATTGATGGTTTTATAGCAGTCGCAATTAATTATAGATGTGTTCCGGGTGATAGATCTATTCTTCTTTCATCTCTTCACTGGTTTTTTATTTATTTATTTATTTTTAAATCGTTTTGTTTTCTAAACAGTTATCTTCTCCGACTACTATGATTTACCATTTAACAACATTCTTGACTGGAAGAAATTCTCCGTAATACTCAAGGAGAGTGAAGTCAATCAACTAGAGGAAATCCTTGCATGCATACCAAAGCAAGAATACCAAGCCCTGTCCACCAACACAATGATGGTACACATTTTTTCTACTTAAACCTTGATTGTTAACTGTCTAATTCCTTATTCTGTACTCATGAATCAGGTCCAGAAGCACTTTGAGTGGAATCTACCTCCAGTCAGACTTGATGCGTTTCATATGGTCATGTATGAACTTTGGCTGCGCCACAATGTTACCAAGTACTATGGAGTCGGGGAAATTTGATGCAGCAGAAATACAGTTTAACATCTCTCAACAAGCACAAGCCCTTCTTTGGTCCAACCAACTTTTCAATATTAAGAAATCACTTAATTTACTTTTGTAAGTCTGAGGTGATATGCCTGCCCTAATCACTACTTTTTGAATAGATGAACTTTTGTTGCAAAATTTTGTTTTTCTATTCATTTCCACCAAATGAGGTTGTCTGCTGAAACTGGACTACTACCACTACAACAAAATGAGGGTATAGAGGCAGTATTCTTGAGGCGGTTTACAGAATTGCCTCAAATTTTGTTAATATATTAAGGTTATTGAAAACATATGAAAAGCGCCCAAATTTTAAAGAGAGGCGTCAATTTTATTTCTAACGTTTTATTCCTTTTTTTTTTTTTTTTTTTTTTGGTTCTGAAATGGGGAAGGACTCTTCATCTTCTCTCTAATTTTAATTAGGGTTTTTAGCTTCTTCTTCTTCCGCTTAATCATTCTCCACGATCTGCTTCTTCCTTCTTCTCATCTGCTTCTTCATTTATAATTTAATTTTTTGGTTTCTGAAAAGGAGAAGATCTGAAGCTTCTCATCTGCTTCTTCGTTTCTGAAAGGGTATCACCTTCTTCACCTCTGATTCTTCTCCTCTGCTTCTTCGTTTTTATTTTTTTTTCCTGGGTTCTGGAAGGGAGAATAGACGGTTCATATATCTCCCCTCTTAGGGTTTTCTTTCTTCTCTGCTTCTTTCTTCTGCTTCGTCCTTCTTCTCCTCTGCTTTTTCTTCTTCTCCTCTGCCTCGTCCTTCTCTCCTTCTTGTTAGAAACTAAATTATACCCATCTATCAATAATTTTAAGAGTCTTTCCTATCCATAAATCGGCTTATTTCAAATCAATTGGGTACTCATTGTTGATTTTTCCATTGATCTCTCTAATGTAAGTGTGCTAAATTAATTTTATGGCCAATGAATTAGATTATGCTTAAATTTTTTGTTTGTGCTCTTTTCTTTTCTAATTACCTTTAATTTTTTTATTTTTAATGAGTAATTTACGGCCATGAGAATCATAATTCCCTTGTTTGTCATGTTTGGTGTTGTAGGCATCTCCTCTGTACAAGGCTTGGTTTGTGCTAGGATTGGTTTTACTTGATGGTGGCATGCTCTTGATATTGCTAGCTTGAAGATCCTCTAGAAGTCACTGTTTGTGCTAGAGAAACCTGGTGTATCTCTAAATATGATTAGAAATTCGTCAATTAGGCATCTAACCTTTCTTTTAAAACCTCCACAAGTTTTAACATTGTCACCTTTTATCCCATTATAATGCTCCCAATGTTATTTCAGTTTATACCAATATAGGAATGTATGGTTGTAATAGTTAGATTATTACAGACTTCATTTGCAAATGGCTAAAAGATGTTTGAAAGATTTCCCATAGAAATAGGGAGAGAGGTGGAATAACCTTTAGGCTTACACTGAAATCCGACATAATGTTAAAACAAACACACTGTCTAGGCTTGTTTATACATGAACTTTTGTTTTGAATTCATCCAGTATCTACAATGCAGTCCTTTTTTTCTTTTGATAAGTCAGACACACTGCTTGCTTACATGTTTTGGAGAAACAAACTTAAGCACGGATTCCTCCTAGTCCTTTAGGCTCTTGGAGTGAAATCTGCTATAATTTTTCAGGGGAAAAAGAAAGTCTCCGAAAAGCTTAGGAAAGTGATACTCCAAAAAGCTTAGGAAAGTGATAATTTATTCTCAGGATTCAATCTATCAGATTTACAATCGTTATTGTAATATTAGATCAGTAAAATCATGCCAAACCAATGAACATGATGTACACAGGGGTAAACCTTCAAGGGATGCTCTGGTTCAGCTTTTGAAATTTATGGAGTTAAATTTCCATTCAAGGTTGGTAAATAAGGTATCTTTTTTAGTTAAATGTACTATTTTGTTGGATTTGGAAATACCCTTTTGATGATCTTTAACTGATTTGATGTTTGTGTAGGATTTGATTGAGTTTCTTGGTTTTTGGGCTCTTGAATTTGAAGATTGCGAGACAAACTTGCCAATTAGATGGTTGAGTCTTGTTCTGATGCTCTTATGATTCAACTTGCTATAAAATCACACCGGCTCTATATTTTTTATATGAACCGTTCTAGTTGAGTTTTATTTGCTATTTGGTTCTATGGAGTTCGTTTTTAACTAGATATGTACTTTCCTTTTGTTAGATTTCTCTATTTCCTGAAATGGTTTATGGCATTTCCTATGACAGAATTTCAGTTTTTGATGAGCTTCTCAAGCTTATGTCAAAGCTAGAACTTATGGTGAGTTTCATTTATTCATCTCTTGAACTGGAGACATTTTTTTTTATTCGCTCGTTGATGCTCTCCACTAAGAAATGTCACTCCTAAATCTGTTGTTATCTATGGCAAAAGAAACAAATATTTAGTATTGTGTTTCTTATTTATAACTCTGTACCTCTCTGTAGGCGGATTTCTCAGAATTCTCTCATTTCTATGATTTTGGATTCTTCATGTGTTGTGAAAATGGTCAAAAGAATATCAGTAAGTTTTCTCATTTCTAATGTTTTTGATATATAGGCATGGTTTAATGGATTCTTTTCCATAGGCGACTTATATTTCTGGAAGTTCTCTTGCAGTTGTAAACAAAGCTGTTTCAACATGGAAATTAGTTTTAGCTGGGAGGTTGAAACTTGCTAAACCAATGGTGTGACTTTGTTCAGGTATGGGTGTTGCTAAGCTAACTGGATAACTGATATTAATCTTTTACCTTGATTACCTTTTTTGTTATGCTCTTCCAGTGTTAGCTTTTTTAACTTCAGAGATGTCATCTGAGATACAAACAGATTAGTTGTTGAAAATATCAGTAGTTGTAGAAGAACATTCTCTTTTTGTTAAATTTTATGATAACTCAATGAGATCTAAGGTGTGTTATTTCTCTTGAAACTATGGTTGTCCAAAGGGAAAATAGGAATAAGCAAATTGTTTTGGTGTCTACTACATTGGCCACTAAGTCTATTCTGCAGTTCTAAACTAATTCAGAACAGCAAATACGCTTCATCGCCAGAATCTGCTATGTCTTGGTAATCTTCATCAATGAGAACCCAAATTGCATTTGCATGTCGTATATCTTAAAATTCTACATCTCTGAAGAGTATTTTATTAATGATTTATTGAATTCTTAAGTTCTCACTCTTAGTGGAGGACAAAAGTGGATTCATTGTACAAGATCAAGTAGTAACGACTGGGCATTGCATGTCGACTGAAACTCATCTGAAATCCTCCAAAAAAAATTTTTATCATCACTGATTTGTCAAGCCATTGGTTTTTTATGCAGGTGGTCTACCTACCGACATTGAAGAAGAGCAGCTACTTGAAAATGTTGAGAAGTATAAGCTTGCAAACCATCTATTTTGGGGTTTATGGGGGATAATATCAGTATGCCTTCCAGTCTTTCGTTTGTTAATCAGAACCTAGACATTTTTACAACAACTTCAGATATGTCTGATGGCCCACATTGCTTTTGGCTGCATACAGTGCATGTCATTCAGAAGTTCTAGGAATTGTATCCATGCATTTTGTATATTCCCTACTGATGTTATTCTCTGAAATCGTTTTTTATTTTTTAGGAACATGTCAACGAAATTGAGTTTTGACTGATGGTAATTTTACTATCTAATTGTCACTCTCTCCTTCCAGTATTACATGCATATAGTTGTCTACAGGAACTGACAACTCTAGATTGTGTCATGGTCTTTTGGTGTATCTTTCTAAAATATTTTCATCTTTGTTCAATACTTTTACAAAACAATATTTATTTGATTTGTTAGTTGTCCTTTTCTGCACAAAGATGGGGTACCAGCATTATAAAATGAGCAAATCAGTTGGAAATACATAACTATGTTACTCTTTAATTTCCATAGGATTTCAATGATTTTGAAACCGATGGCATTTAGATATCTCTTTTTCTATTTGATTCATTATTTGCTGAATGATCACTGAGTTGCTTAGACCACCTTGCATTTAATTCACTAATTCCTGTGCTGTAAATAATTAAACGAGAAAAGATAATATCAGTCCAGGGATGCCTGTGTGTATGGCACGTGAATGTAATCAAACACGGGATTATGGGATGTTGGATGAGGAGAGAATGGTCGTATTCATTCCTTAACTTTTGTGTATGTTAGGCGAAAAAATGGTACCAAAATGTAATTGTAATTTATTTATTATTGATGAATGATATTTCATTAATCATTTATTTCAAATATACTTGTCTTGATATTTATTGAAAAATGATCGTTCTCTCCAAGTTAAGCATTATGAAGGTTCCTCAACTACTACTATTATCGATATGAATGAAGAGATTTTTTAAGAAGTTATAGGTAAAGAACACAATGGTAGAACATATTGAGAATTTTTTTTATTTATTTCGAACAAGTGTTTAATCCTTTAGTTTTTTTATTCATGTAGATTTTTTAAGACTTTTTATATATTTAGAATGTCATAATCACAAATGCAAGAATATTGTATAAGTTATATAATTTTTCATTTATTTGCATTCAACATGATGTAATTTTAATTTTTTCTTAATTTTTTTTTTTACCAAAAAATGAAGTAATTAATTGAATTTGAAAGCCAAATAAAACTATAATATTAAAGGCGGTTAAACAACTCGCCTCTATTATGAAATTTGAGGTGGTTAAAATTGCCTATATAAATTCTAGAGTTTGAGGTGGTTAAAACCGCCTCTATCATTTTAAACTTTGAGGTGGATGTAACCGCGCCAATAATTTAGCACGAAATTGAAAAAAGATGAGATTGTAGAGGCAATTCCAACCGCTCCAAAGTACATGCCAAATAATACCGAAAGAGGCTTGGTAAAGGTGATTGTAATCGCCCGAAAAAAAATTTGAGGCGGTAGTAACCACCTCGAATTCTCCAACGATTGGTAAAACCATCACTACACTCTAGAGACAACGGCATTCCAAGCGAGTCTTGAGGCAATTCTCAAAACTGCTTCTAGAGGACAAAAAAACATTTGCAATGCCCTCTTTTGATGTAGTGTACGATGCCAGGAACATATTGTATTTTTTTTTTTTTAAATGAAAGTTGATCAATATATTAAAATGGAAAGAGACAACAAAAAAGAAAGTGAGTAAAAGATGAGTTGAGAATACAAAGATACTGTGTAATAGTTATGACATAAACTGATCACTTATATTCCAAGCAAATTAACCAAGCTGTTAACATGAACAGATAGCATTTTACGGAATAGATAACTTGTCGATTTCATGACAATTGTTGTAGCCTCTCCTGTTTTGACATTGTATGCAATAGAATCCTTTAGGGTTTCCTCCAACCAACAAGCTAATATCAGAACATCCCCATTATCAACCCATCCTATGGGATACAGCCGAATTTTTTTATTAGCACCAAGCACAATATGGGGCATATGCCTTTGAGGTTCGAATTTTATATTATAGAGTTTTGTCCACACTCCTTTCTTACAATCTAAAAACCTCCACACATCCCAAAGCAATCCATTACAAGGCTGCTCAGTTAATGCTGACAGGAAGTTTCCCGTGGTTTTGAAGAAACATCTGTCCTTTTTCAATTCTTCCGGTAGAGGAGATCGGCTTAAAGATTCAGAATCTACCTCCAAAGTAACAACATGAAGAGGCTTCCACCAATTGACCCAGTGAACAAATCCATCAACAGCAATCATGTCAGTAAGCAAAATCTTTTGGTCATCACTACGCAAAGTTTTAGTACTGATAGATCTCCATGCATTGCTTTTACCTACAGTTACGATCATCAGGTTGCAACTCACATGCCACCTGCAAACCACTTTGTAATCTCCGCCAACACTGGACTTAGTTAAACAACAAGAAAATCCGAATTCTAATTGACTCCAATCTAGCCGAGGAAGGCTTACATGTTGTCTTGTTACAGGATTTAACACATAAAGAGTGTTGATTAATCTCTTTTTGTCGTTGAATAAGATGAGACCATCGCAACTAGTTGGATGAACTATTTTAGTAGTTGGAAACCTTATTTCTTCAAAACCAAATCCCTTCTCTCCCTTCTCCATAATAAAGACTGATTTTGACTCAAGCTGATGAGATTTCATAAGCAGACATGTTCTTGATCGTTTAAGGTGTTTGTTAATAAAAATAGGGTCACGAATGATGTTATACCATTGCTTGCAAACATATATCATCTTCTTATGAAGAGTTCTGGCTGGAAGAAGCATTAGAATGGTCAATATGATCTCTTCTGGAAGCAGAGGAAGCGGAGGTATGCTACCATTGCTTTTATTGCCCGTCTTCTGCTTCATACCGAAGCTGTGGATCACTTCTGGAAGCTGGGGTTTTTGTTCACAATACTACGTACTGATATCTTTTATTATAGATTAGGGTATTAACCCACAGACGGCTGCTCCCAACAGAAACACAAACAAGCTTTATATATATTTTTTTTTCTTTTTTCTTTGCAGACGCGTATTACAAAGTAAAGCTATACCCTTCTATTTATATAGGTTTCTAGCCGACCTAGAAATCCTTAATTATTAAGGATTTTTATTACTTACTCAACCTTGACCAATTACCATACGGATTGGTCTTGGTATAACTTACAACATATAGGATGTCAAGCTTTCTTGTTTTTTCATCGTTTATGGAAATGGAAAGAAAATATAAGACCCATAAATCATCGAGTTTCAAAGACAGTAACAAAGACAAAGGAGTCCCACCTGTTTATTTATAATGACTTTACTTCAGAGCAAGATGTGAAGTTTTGTTTTTGTTGGAATAATTGTCATATGATTCGAATTTCTTCTTTTTCCTTTTCGTAATAGACTTCAATTGAATGCAATAAACATAAGGCTTACATGTGAAGCTGCGGATCCTTTGCCATAGAAGGATTACATGTATATCTGTTTGCTCTAGAAGCAATTCCAGAGCTTACTCTTTGTTTCTGACAAGCATTTTACTGTCAGAGAGGGCCCTCTGAAAGCATCCCTGATTACGTCTGTGTGATGGCTTTTCTTTTCCAGTGAACCAAAGCACTGAGGTTTACTGCATGTAAAATACATGGATTGCTGGCAATTTTCATCATGACGTGATTCAAAACCGCTTTAATATGGCGAAGAGAAAAGGAAAGATTTGTTTTCTTTGTTTTGAAGAAATAAGGTTTCCCATTAATAGAATATTTTATCCAACTTCAGATGGTCTAATAGTATTTAGTGATTTGAGTAAAGAACCAACATGGCAGCCTGCGTTGGATTGGAAAGTCCCGGAAGAATTGAAGTCCCACAAATGTGAGTACCAAGCAATGAGAAGTTCCCTGTCAGCAGTGATTGAGTAGCCTGGTAATGGATTACTTGGGATATCTGGAGCGAATCCTAAAATTTATTGCATACAAAGTCAAGACAGGACAGTCATGTAAGCCTTATGGCAGATATCTCCTCCAGTCAAAATAGTTAAAGAGTAGGGAAATTTGGGGAAGAAAGGAACAAATACATCAAGCAATGCTATGTGCTTTTAGCTTCAGAAACCAGAAATATAGAGAAATGTTGCCTGTCTTTGTTGTTCAGGATGGTGTATTGAGATATCGAACCATACGTATTAATAGAAACATCTTCTAGTAACTCAGTACCTAATGATGTGGTTCTAAAGAAATTACAAGAAAATAAGCTGCATGGTCAAGGTGCCAACATCAAATCAAAAAGCCAAGAAGAAACAATGAGTTATCTCTCAATATCCTGCAAAATTGAACAAATGAGGGGTGAGCAAACTATAGCTTAGTGAGCAAATATTATATAATGTGCTGATGAAGGAAAACGGACTACGGACGATGTTCTTAAATCTATATCAAAATACAATGCTCATTTCTCAAACACATGCATATCAAAAACATGCTTCGTATTACAAATTAAATGGTTCAAAACCATTTCATATCAATTCATCGAAACACATATCATACATATATCGTATTCATATGAAAACACATATTTATCGATTTTTATACACCCGTGGGGTAATAATGTATCATTAGGTGTGAACACCCAAAGATCATACTCTTCGTGACTAGGTTTTCGCATGTTGGCCGACATACGGTCTAACACTATACTTCTTCTACTAAATGGAGTCTCATATCATTGAGCTCAAAGGCTACCTCTCCAGTAGCTAGATTCCCTAAGGTCTCAAAAACATTTTTGAAAACCAAACGTATTTATACATTTTCAAACCGATATTTCAAATAACATGCATGTATTTTCATAAAATACATATATACTTAAAGTAGCGAACATAATGTATATACATTCAAATCCGAAGACACATACCAAACCATTCAATTCATATGAAATCATTCAAATACAAAATCACTTCAAATATTCACGATGTCCATTTCCATCTAGGTTTTAAGGAAATACTTCTAAAACATTAATAAACCAATGATGCATGATAAACAAATTTCAAGAACTTTAAAATATAGTACAAAATATAGTATCCACTCACAAGTACAATTAAAGAACCAAAAGGAATTAAGGTTGTGATGAAGTCACCCAAATAATCTAGCATCACAAATGATGGGGCATCCATCAATATCGTATCTCAAGGAATAATTCAAAATGATGAAAGCAAGCATATAAGATTATTGAACAAAAATGGAATTGATTGGGAAGACTCAATCCGATAATTTAACTAAATCCTATAATCCTTCAATTGATTCTAATCTATAGCTCACTAAATCTCATATCACCAATTTTTAATTTAATCATGAATTTCCATTTCAAAAAATCCATTATATTCTAATTCACTAAATACTTATTCCATTAACCTTGAATAGCATGTATATAGCTTAATTCCTTATTTTTCCTAATTTTCTTTCCAATTAAAACCTAAATTCGGATTCGTCACTATTCATCATCTTCAACCTCTCAATTTCTCAAATTCATTCAATTTTACTTTAAATTAACTCTTTAATTCACTTGCCCAAGACAATTAAACATCAATTAAATACTTAGGATCATTTAATCAAACTTTTCCCCAAATGGGTCTCAAGAACCCTAGCCTCAATTTAAGCAATTCCTCAAGTAAATCATTAACCCGAAGCAATCTCAATTCACTATCATCATTAACTACACATAAACTTCATAATTCAAAGATTAATGGATCAAAATTCTTACCTTTACACAATGCTCTTCAAATCCCAATTTCTTCCTAGCTTTCCAAGCTTCCAACACTCCAAGCTAGCTAGACTTCACTTAAATATACTAATTTATGTTTCTCTTAAGCTAATTAAGCTAATTTAACAATGAATTAGCTTAGGATTTGAGGTGAAAATGGGTCAGATTTTTAGAGTGAAAAACGTGAGAGAGAGAGAGAGAAAGAAGGAGAAATACTAGAGATAGGAGTAGTTTCGCTCTTATTTATACTAGCCTATTTTTATTTTTTTTAGATTATTACATTCTCCCCCTTAATAAAGTTCATCCTTGAATTTTAAGTCTACCCAAACCTTAGTAGATGGAAAATTGAGGATAATTTCTTTTAATTTCCTCCTCGGCCTCCCAAATGACTTCTTCGGTCGAATGGTTTCTCCAAATGACTTTAACAAACACAATCTCTTTATTTCATAATTTCTTAACTTGGCGATCCACTACAACCACCGGTTATTCCTCATATGATAAATCGGGACTCAATTCCACCATTTGCTTCTAGTACATGAGATAGGTCGAGAACATATTTTCTTAGCATGGAAATATGAAACACTAGATGTACATTCTAGAATTATGGCAAGCAATGCCAATTCATAAGCCATCGCTCCAAGCAATGAGCTAGATCAATTCATGCCCTAAAAGTTCCTTTTTCTCTAGTTTCGCCCAACATATTGGCGATCTACACTTTCGATCATACAAAGCCTTGTATGATGCGATACGAATCCCGGAATGGTAACTATTGATGTATGAGAACTCAATCAATGGAAAATGATGATTCCAACTACCTTCCGGATCCATCACACATGCTCTAAGCATATCCTCTAAGGTTTGAATTGTCTTTTCCGACAAGTGACCATTTGTATGAGGATGAAATGTCATACCGAAGTCTAGTCTTAAACCAAGTGCCTCTTGTAACTTTCTCTAGAATCAAGATGTAAATTGAGTACATCGATCCGAAATGATAGAGATCGAATATCATGTAAAGACATTATCCAATCAATAGACGAGTTAGGCATATTAAGCATACCCACAAGTAGTCTTTATAAGTAAAAAATGGACGGACTTAGTCAATTTATCCATGATCACCCAAATTGAGTTATAACCACCTTGGATTCGAGGTAAACCTATCACAAAGTTCATCATCACTCTTTCCCACTTCCACTCCAATAGTGGTACTCTTACAACTTTTTTGTCAATCTTTAGTGCTCATACTTTACTTTTTGACATGTCAAGTACCATGAAATAAACTCCATGATACCTTTCTTCATTTTAGTTTACCAATAATTCTCGTAAAGATTTTTATGCATCTTAACATAACTAGGATGCATAGAATAGGATGTACTATGAGCCTCTATCAAAACCTATTTTCTTAACTTTGGATTCTTCAACACATATAACCTTCAATGAAACAACAAAGTGTATTTATTATAAACTATAAAACCCGAACTTTTTCTCATTGCATCTTAGTAAAAATATCTTAGATCTCCTTATCACTAAACCACAAAGTGTCTTTATTATCAACTCTAAAACCTCGGACTTTTTCCTTTTTACATCCTAGTAAAAATCTCTTACATCTCCTCATCACTAACTTGAGCCTCTCGAATCTTATCCACCAAAATCGGCCTAATCTCCATATGGGCCAAAAGATTACCCAACTCATTAACTTCGAACGCCACTCCGCAGTCTCATAATTTATCTATTTTTGATGTCAATGATTTTTTTTCCTCTAATATATGAGCTAAACTTCTAGATGATTTCCTACTTAAGGCATCAACTACCACATTAGCCTTACTCGGATGGTACAAAATAATACAATCATAGTCCATCGGTAATTTCATATATCTTCTTTACCTCAAATTCAAATCTTTCCGGTCAAATATATACTTTAGGCTCTTATGATTTGTATGGATTCACAAGTTTTTCCATACGGATAATGTCTCTAAATTTTCACCACTACCAACTCTAAGTTATGTATAGAGTAGTTTCATTCATGTTTCTTTAGCTTCCTTGAAGCATAAGCTACCACCTTATCATGCTGCATCAATACACATCCTAACCCCACTCTCGAGGCATCACAAAACCCTAAAAATCCACTACTACCTAAAGGTAAGGTAAGG